GTTGTATGATGATAATGTTGTATGATGATAATGTTGTATGATGATAATGTTGTATGATGATAATGTTGTATGATGATAATGTTGTATGATGATAATGTTGTATGATGATAATGTTGTATGATGATAATGTTGTATGATGATAATGTTGTATGATGATAATGTTGTATGATGATAATGTTGTATGATGATAATGTTGTATGATGATAATGTTGTATGATGATAATGTTGTATGATGAAAATGTTGTATGATTCATCATACAACATTATCCTACAAGATCATACAAAATTATCAGCATACAACATTATTACCATACAACCATTATCATATCATACAACATTTTCATCATACAACATTTTCATAATACTACATTATCATCATAAAACGTTATCATCATACAACATTTGAGTCATCATACTACATTATCATCATACAACATTTTCATCAAACAAAATTTTCATCATCTTACAACATTGTCATCATACAACATTTGAGTCACATACTACATTATCATCATACAACATTATCATCATACAACATTATTATCATATAACATTATCATCATACAACATTATCATCATACATCAATGCTATAGTTCTCCTATCTCTCTTATTTCATCAGGATAATGATTCCACTGCATATGACAGATATGAGCTGTCTCCCACACAGCATAACCCTCTGAACATGAACTGTAATCCTAGTAAAGAATGCAGATGTTTCTCGGATATAGTAATGTACTGACACTGGCAATAATCTCTTAAGTTTGAATAATGAAAGATGCATGAAAAGAGAAATTTGTTATTTTATAGACTTCCGGCCATTTAGGATTTTGATGTTGCGTGACCGGCAGTCCGCCATCAGTTGGTTGAGATTTTTCTCGAATAGAAAAATGTCTGTACAGTACCATGAAAGTTTCAGAAATGTTGATTATATTGTTTTAACTCTTTAAATAAGAATAATAAAAGAGAAATCTGTTATTTTATGGGCTGCGGCCATTTAGGATTTCGTTGTTGCGTGGCCGGCGAGTCGGTTCAAGTTCGWACAATGTCTCTAAGTGCAACGAATTTCGGCGCGACGTGTATGTAAGTTTTAACACACTCATTTTACTCGTAGAGTTTTATTTTGGAGTTTGGAAGCTCGTTTAGATAATAAGAGAGGGAAAAAACACATTTTATGGACTGCCGGCCATTTAGCATTTTCAAGACCCTTGACCGGTAACCGGCCATATAGACACAGCGTTATTAATTATTATATAATTTACAATTTTTCTCCTACTTCAAAATGAGTCTGTAAGTACTAGTATCTCTCTCTGAAAAATAGAAAAAGAAAATTCAATCAAAATATTAGACATGATAATTATCATGTTATGCCTTGTATACTTTATTGTAACACAGGTTATTGTACCATCAAGCGACCAGAGAAGCCCTGGGAACGTAGTTGATTGTACCATGAGAGTTCAAAAAAAAAGATTGTTCTTTCATTGGGCTTCCTTTGCTCTTTGGACACAGGAAGACCAAACATAAGAACTTGTGAGCCATATTTTCTTAGAATGTAGTACCTTGTAAGAGATGAACCACAAAATGAGACTCATCTTGAAAGTTTCTTATCATCTGTGAAAAAAAATTAAAAAGGTTTGGGATCAGTGACATTAAATATACTTTAGTTCAGCTCCATCGCTAAATGATTGGACAACTAAAGCCAGTGTTGGGGGTTGTTTGTACATGTGCAAAGGGAGGAGTCACAGAGTTGGTTATCTAAAGTTGGCCACAAGTTTTGATTCTATGTATGACCACAATATAAAATGAAGGCTATAGAAATATTTACCATATAATGGCCCAAGGTGGAACATCTCACAGCAGAAATCATGGATTCAAACCCCAAGAAACCCAACACTTTTGAGGGTTTTCATTAAATAATTCTAAATCTTTCGCATTGAGATCAACAAATATATATTTTACTTATATTTCAGAAGGACAATGTATTTATGGAAAGGAAAAAAGGGGCATTCTCCCTTGGCATCCCCCTTGAAAACTGTTAGTCTTTCTCTATAGGCTGATTTGAGCAATAACCATTAACAATATAATTAGAATTAATCAAGAAAAAGCATTGCAATTATTATCATAAATTCATACCTCTTCATCTACAAGTATATATATTCCAGTGGGTCCTTGTCTAAAATAATAATATTTCACATAAATATTAAAGTAGATAACTTATATATTTTAGGGCCTGGTGTGAATCATATTTAACAAATTGTGCACAGTTTTGAGTTGTATGTTCTCTAATTCACACGCTCTTGACGTCATAAAATGTTCACGAGTGCAGCGAGTGGGTTCACAGCAAAGTTTTGAGCATTTTATGATATCAAGAGTTTGTCAATAAGAGGACATCTAAAAATTAGGAAAAATCATTCTTTTCTTTCAGTCGAGCATGTGCGCGAGACGTGATGTTGTAAGCACAGTGTGCATGTCCTCTTATTGACACACTAATCAGCCAATCGTCACACGAGAATTTACACAAGTGTTGTAAAAAACACCTCCAGTATCAAGAGAAGGACCCAAATCCATCAAGATGCACAAGTTTGAATATACATGTTCCCTATGTTTCAAGATAGTGCCAGTGCCACTGCAAGGAGACTAGTACTACCTTAATAAATTAGAGTGGCTTAAAATCCCAAGTAACAATTATTCATGTCACATACTCTTCAATCAGAAGTCAATAAAAACAAAAGGAAAACAAAACAAATTATTGAATTTATAACAATACTTACCTATACATTGCTACAATTTGATTTTCTAATAAACTACATTTTTTGGCAAGCTTTTTTCTCAAATGTTCTACATCTAATGCTTCAAGKTACATAGCGTGATATTCTTTCATTCCTGAATCTTGCTGTGTAGATTCCAGACAGATATAGATAGTTAACAAAGGTCTTGTTGCCCTGAAAGTTAAAGTTATATTTTACTGGCCAAAATTGCAACTGTTCATTGTTTGAGCACATGACCTTTCAGAGTCCAAAAAATTGCTTTTCCAAATAAAATTATACCCACTTTTTTGGAAAGCTAGACACTCAAGAGTAACAAGCTTACCTCAACTGTAATGTGTTATGTAATCGAATGCCATCAGCAGGCCCAAGAAGTTGGATCATGTCATGCCTTGTTAATCTTAATAAATCAGAACCAGTGTAATTTGTGAATAACGGAAGATAATGCGAGAAGCGATTCTCTTGCAGCCACGCCCTTGTTTCTTTTACACTTGATTTTGATGTGAGTTCCTGGAAAACAAGAATTAAAAAATGATGAGACAGTATGATTATCATTGCATCATTCATTATCAGTATCATTCAAACATCAGTATTGCTATCTAACCATGAAAACTATATTAATAATGATATAATAAGTCTTTATTTTTAATTTTTTTTTTATTTATTTTGAGAGGGTAGCACGTAATAGTCTCTAGACTAATAAACTTGTGGCCCTCTGATATATTCACTCATACTCACTACCTCAACATTCATTATTTTACTACACGACACTCCTCACAGCTAGTTTTTGACTGAGGGAGGAAAACCAGCAGACCTGGAGAAAAACCCTCGGAGCAAGGAAGAGAACCAGCCTACAAACTCAAATCACATATAGTCCCACAGGACCACAGCGGTGATAGACCGGCGTTTTAACCGCTCGGCCATCCTTGCTCCCCGTAGGGTGTATTAATTCATGATAATAATAATGAAATTAATAATAATATTAATAATTAATAATAATAATTAATAATTATAATAATTAATTTCCATTAATGATATTATAGTGTACATCAAGCAAAGGGGATATAAGTGAAGAGTGYGGGGATCTATAGCTGATAATAAAGACAAAGGTGGAGTCAGAGAAAGTGTGGTGTTTGTAAAATCAATACATGATAGATAAGACCATTCAGTTTAGAATTAAGTTTACCAGACAAAAACAAAAAATATAATTATAAAGACTCCACAATTTTTAGACTTTTTTTCTTCAGTAATTTGTTTCTTTGTCAACAAAGCCACACTATTCTTTGATCTTTTTAATGCAAAGACAATGAAAGTACAAACAATACTAACTGTTGCCATGGTGCTCGATGTGTCTTGAGGCGATGCGTCTAGATTTTGACTTAGTAAACCTGTTGAAGTAGGCGACACCACAGAAGCAGGAACTGGCCTAAGACAAAAGAACTATGTATGATAAAAAACACAATTTGCATAATGGCCAGAGGCCAAATTTTGTATGAATGGTAGATTATATTTAGCATTTCTTTTGTTTCTTCAAGTTTGATGTGCAAGATTTGAAGTTTTCATTAAAAACCCAACTGAGAAGGGCACTGCATCAATAGAAAAGCCAATGCTTTCTGTTACCTTGGTGACAATCCCTTATTTGGACTGATCTGCCATGGTTCTTCTTCCAATTCCTTTACCACAGATTTCTACAATGTTGTCACATTTAAATTATCAATTTGGATTATATCTAAATTTGGATTAAGTCTCTGATAATTGTCAATTCATAACATTGTTCCTTACTTCTTTTAAAACGGTGAAATCATTTGAAAGTTGATACTGCCCCTTTAACAAAGACAAAAATTGATCATTTAAAAGTCTATCTGAAAAGAGACCTAAACCACTAATTACAAGATATATTATTGAATCTTAACTGTATTACAGGTTGAAGGCAAAATATCTATTTTAATCATCATGATAAGTTTTAATAAATTGTTTTTTTAATAGGTAATGTTTCCTAAGAATGATAAAGTCAACAATTCATTTACAATACATTAAACACATGCAAACAATTTGAAAAAAMGCACACCAAAATAATGAGAAATGTTTTTGACTGTGAAAAGACTAAAAGTATTTTTCATTCCATTCCATTTCATTTCCATTTTTCATTCATTTCCTTTGTACATTTTAATGCCATCCCTACTTACAATTTCATCATGAGGTTTATTTTCCAACTTCTGCAACTCATTCTTATGTTTCCTATCGCCACCTTTGGACTAAAAACAAAAACAAAAAATTCAGAAAGATAAATAATTTATTGACTGCAGTTGAGGAAGTCAATATCAAGCAGTCTACAGCTGGCTATTTCACCATAAGACTGCAAATATTGTATTAATGTTAATTAACAAGTATTCATTTAAATGGAGAATGGCATACATCATACCTTGAATACTTTAACTTGACAAGAAGAACAATGAATTAGACTAGTGTTTGATGATGTGTCTGGTATTTGAGTTTCTATTTGGAGTTGTAAAGGTACACCACTCTCGCCACCTAGATGAACATATTATGGCATAGTAAGGTCATCTGACTGGTCATACATAAATTATCATCATAACAAACGACAGGTTTCATGCAAAATTTTCACTAAAAAATTCCAGGACTTTTCAAGTACTTTTTAAGCACAAAAATGCGATTTTCAAGGACTATTTTTGAAGATATTTTTTGATGTTTGCAAATGTTTCCATTGGCGATTTTCAAAAATAGCCACATTTCAATCCAAACGACAAAAGTAAATATGTTAATTTCATCAGATCCAAGGAGTTTTCCAGGAGTTTTAGTGATTTTTCCCATTTTCAAGGGCTTTTCAAGCACCCTTGAAAACGAGTTTTCAAGGATTTCAAGGAGTAGTGCGAACCCTGAAATGAGCATGATTTCAAAGAGTCAGATTGACTTTCTAGTGAGAAAAGAGTACATGAAACTACAGTACCCATGATACACTCGATATAATCATTCTTTTTGCTGTCAATCAGAATTTTTTACAAATTATGTTAAGCTGACAAATGAATACATACTAGAACTATAGGAATTACAATAAATGATTTMAATAAATTGATGAGAAATAAATCAATGAATGACTGAACAAAAAAATAACAACTTTAGAGGCAAGTTGATTTGTGCAGTCATAWTTATCACATAGACCAGGAAAGGYTTGTGYGTGCATTTGACTTGATTGTATTCAACTGACATTTTTCTCTTTTTACATACCACTTTTGCCTTTTGTAAATTCAGAACTGACACAATTGATCTACAAAATTACAATAGAGATTGTCAGAAAAGTTTAACATGAAAAGCTTCAGAAATTGTACATAAATTAATTTTTGTATATTTAGGAGTTGGCTGATGTCAAAACGTCTGTGATTAGGTCCTAAGTCTTTTGATTATGATGTACACTAGCAAGATCTGGATTAATTCTATAAATTCTCTTTTGTTGTTGTTGTTGTTGTTTTTGTTGTTGTTATGACAAGGTGGTGTAAACCAACTAGTAAACTTACAATAACATATAATTTTGTTTCATTCTTTGAATTCCACTCAAATGCATATGAATTTGATTGATTCCCTTCACTGACAATGTTGTGAATACCAGAAGACATGGGCACATCTAAAAAATAATAAAAGTAATAAATTAATATCATTCTTTGTTTGTTTTCAAACATATATTGGTGATGATATCCCATAATTTCTGATATATTGCTGTAAGATGCTATCCATAAGTATTTAGTTATGTCTGGACACATACAGGTAGTGGGTAGACATGATACGCAAACCATGAAAAAAAAAAATATACGAAAAAAAGAAATTGCTTGTSAACCTTATGAAATGGATTGAAGCGAGAACAACAAAGAGAGCAAAAACAATTACCAATTTCTAAAATTCTTTCAAGAGGTCGATTATTCCTCCATTCTTCAAACTTTTCAGTTTCTTGAATTTGTAGCTTTCTTTCATAAAACGTGAGTTTGACTATGCTCTGAAATATTTAAAAAATCACATTAGTGTTAGATAAAAATATTACAACCCAAGAGAGCATAACTCAAATTTATAAGAATAATAAACACTGATGAGACGGCAAGAAATCTGTACCTTGATCAAATTGTTTTCAAATCTCGAAAGATCCCCATAACTTTTTAAGGTGATGAGATATGACTGGCCTGAGAAATATACAAAAGTGTGCATTACATTACAATAGAATCTTGTTAATCCGGCAATTTAAGTGACTTCGAAAAGTGGCCATATTAATGGTGATGGTCATATCAACCAAATGCAAGGGATGCAAAAAACATAATGACAATCTAGCTGTTATACATGTAATAGACCTCTGAAGCTTTTACGTCATATACCAATGCATATCACATATCCAATGCATTGTAGGACATGTTTGGGACAAAACATGGCAGATTTCTTTTGTTTTCTCTAGAAACTGATCCCACAATGCATTGAAAATCAAGTAGTGACGTAAAAGGTTCAGAAGTCTATTAATATAAATTATTAAAGTGAGAATGCAGTCAGGCACTATCATGTCACATGGGTCAAMACTCAATCAATGAAAGCGGAGGATTTTTGTTATTGATTTATCATGCAATAACAYGTAGTCTGGTCAAGTCAAAGTTTGCTTAGACAATCAAAAACATTGCCATACAATGATCTAACAATATGCTCCATAATTTGGATCCTAAGAATGCAACTAAAAACTGTACCATACTAAATGCAAAAAGGTGGTCTGTCACTTAGGGATGTGTACTACTCTACTGTATTACCAGGACCTTTATGAAACCCCTAACACTATGCCAGGATGAAAACAAATAGATTTTGCATAACCTCCACTAGACCAACCAAAATACAAAAAATAAAAGAATGTATTGATRAAATGCAAAACATGTAAATATTCAATTAACCCCAATAGATATTTGCTAATACTACTCCCAAACTTGACACAGCATGTGTGTAGAGTATCCCCTCATCTCCTTGTCAATAACACTTTCTAATAACACTAGTACACACCTTGGTTAAGATATGTTAATGTATCCTCTCCTACTTTCTTCCCAGGTGCAGTTGGAGCAGACAGCACATGATAAAACTCACAGCCACTAAATCATCAAATACAATATTTATTCAAAAACAACAACTTTGTAAGGTCTAAACTATCAGACTACTAATTGTAGAMGATCRCTGCAAACACAGATACAGYATTTKCTAGTGAGTGTGTCAAGCTTTTAAGCCTTAAAATCAAACTAAAAGACTGACCATGATGGGTTCATGTAATTTGTACACAGTAGTTTATATAAGGAACACTTGTGTAATGGCACTGTAGAAGCTTGAATTTAGTCATGAAATTTTAATTGTCATAAGTGCATGGTAGACAAGGTAGAATAGATTCATTATTCATTATTCACTGCATTTAATGGTAGTGTTTCTTCGATTTAATGATTTTAATGAGCCTGGTAGTACAAGGAGTGGATGACATTGTCCTGTACATAGATTTGGCAGGATTTAATTCTATCCTGAATACAACGATTTCTGTAATGCATGGCAACGTTTTTATAACATCCTCAGGACATCAAATAAGACAGACAACCTAAATTAAAAACTATGCAAGCCTTGTGACTTGGAATCCATGTCCTAGGATATCACCATACCGTGTATACATACCTTGATAGATCCCCATTATTTGCCCTTTTCTTGGAATGATTGCATGACATCATAGATTCTTCTTGCTTCACATCATGATTGGAAACACTTGAATAAAGAACAAAACATTATGCATTACTCTTGCCAAAAACAAAACAAAAACGGTAGAAAAAAATAATATATAACAACTCACCTCTCTATGCTATCTTTGAAGATTGGTAAGTTGAGTACATCACTGAAGAAACAAAATTAAATGAAAAATGAATTGATTGATTGATAATTGATTAATGGATATAGAGGAATGGAGGAATAAATGCATTAAATGAATGAATAAGAAAAAATAACATCAGAGTATTTATGTTTAATAATTAAGACAACAGACACTTGTCTCTTAACTGTCTAAGAATGTCCAAGGAGTATAAATGCCCTGCCGAGGCACTTGAGTTGTTAGTTTAAGCCTAATTTGCATGTTTCAAAATTAAAATATCAAGCTTCATTTTCTGGGGAAACTTGTTAATTCACTCCTTTAGTTTTATATAAAGCAATATTTCAGCTTGACAGTTGCAATATCAAGATAACTGTAGGTGGAATAAAATGCTTAAATGGAATCTGATACCCATATGAAAACAATTACAAGTAAATTAAATGTAAAGTTATTTTACCTAGATTCAAACAATTTAAACATATGATAGTATTCAAAAGAGTTACGTTTTGGATAAATTGTCAATCATATTTTTTTCTGGTCTTTGGACATAATAATTAGAATGTGTGACTGCACATCGAATAATAGATTAAAAAAAACAAACAAAAACTATAAATCACAAACAACACAAAAATAAATAAACACATTAACAAACGTCCAAAACAAACTATGTCGTGTTTTTGAACGTTTGGCCAATAATGGACTTCAATTCGCACTAAAAAAATGCCTTTCGACGCTTGAAATCGAGAAATTTTAACCCTGTTTATTTGAGAATTCTTAATATCAATAGCGCCAAACYGTGAAACATTTTAACATTGCATCGCAATATTTGGTGAAATTTTAATGAATGTGATTCAAAATGAGCATTAATAGAATATTTCCAATGGTATATCCGGCAATTTTGATAGCACATAGGTGTAAAGGCCAAGATATGTAGACTATTTTAATAAACACACTTGCCGGCCAGTGACTGCACAAATTTGACGTAAGCTTTAATTAATGGTAAGGTTATTCCGACTGTGTTTTTCATGAACGAAAAAAAGGAGAACGATATCATAAACCATATGCTTATGCGATAAAAATAACTTGAGTCAACACACCTCATTTTGTAAGCCTGTGGTTCAGCTGTTAAGTCATTTCCTAGACCAGAAAGGTTGAACAAATCGGTTGACAGTCCACCGTCTAAATCGTCCATATCCCAATTGGAATTGCCAGCCATTTTGCTTTATAGTAAACACACTGTGTTTCACCACTACTTTCAAAAGCGGTTCATAGAATTAAATGCTGAAATTCTTCATTACTTCAGGTAGTAAAAGAACAACATCTGATCGGAACAAAAAGAAAACAACTACACATAGAAAGAGGAATGTACAAATGGACGAGCACGGACGAGCACGTGGGCTTTGACATGAGGGAATAGGAACGAATAACACAGGGATCCCAACAAAATGTCTGAAACTTATGTTCATTTTAGACCCTGTAATTATTTACACAGTGTTCCAAGACTTCAAAAAAACATGTAAAACTGATTCAATGAGTATTCCTGGAGTTATTTTTGAGGACCTTTGAGGGAATTTCAAGGATTTTTTAAGGTCGASTATCACAAACCCTGATTACAACAAGAGCTGTCAATTCTTCATTGGTGCTCCTCACCCTAACAAATTTCTGTATCCAACCCTGTTGCAGGGACAGGTGGAAAAGCGATTCAAATCTTTAGCATCTACCCCCATGTTGTCATGCCAATACAATAAGTACTATATAAAAATGAAAACATTTTATTTGATTACAGTACCAARTTCATATTTACAATTTATTGAAGTCAGTGTGATGCTACTGGACCATATTTACATAACACAGATTATGATGCACTGAGACATATTTAAACATACTTCAGGCTTCCTGTGTTCTTTAAACAGGAATCCCAAAATAAAATGGGTTTCTGCATATTAGCCTGTCAGTATCACCATTTTTCTATGCTCTCTGTWGGAAAAGTCAATATGTGACACTGTGGCTTCCAATTTGTTTACTAAAAAATCAAGTTCCTAGCTAAAAGTGTGATGTTACATTTTTAGTACCATTTTGAAAGACAATCATATGCCTTCACTTGGAAGTTGGATGGTGAAATGAGACTAATGTCAGTAAGGGTATCTAGTTTCTATTCAAACTAATGTTGCCTTGCTATCATGAAATGCCAAAAGATCATYCATGCAAGGATTAGCACCTTCTTAATAAAGGCCCCCAAAATCATGGCTTTGAGTACTTATAGTAACACCTCTGTGATTACAATAATATTGTATTTCATAATATTATCAAGATTATTCAGGTAAAATCTCCTTCACCAAAACTCTCCCTGTGGCTGCACTGTCATCATCTTTGCTAAATTGCAACAAGTGTGATTCTACTTCACTTCTCACTGTTTCAAGGCTGCCTTTATCAAGCTCTTTCAAGAGACTCAAGACAGCAGATAAAATATTTGAATTCTGAAATGAGAGAACACAATTATTAGCCTAATGGGACTTACGGCTCTTTGTTGTTTCCCACAACTGTATGGGTGCATTAAATGGAACAAGTGCTAACAACAAGAATAGTATAGTCTTTCTCCCTATGGACATGAGCTTTGTTCTCGAAAAAAAATCATACACTTTTTGTGTATTTAACACAGCCTGGTCTAAAGCCATCWAATAATTGTTCCCTAAACATATCCTAAATGACTTAGTGGTTGACAATATTTATAGAGAGTTGATAGTAAATCTTACCCTACTGTCTGCTGGCTGAGGTGATGTAGAGTCTGGACGGCTGTTTGATAGTATGTTCATAGAACAAGAATTAGTGTTTTGTTCTTCAAGATTGAGAGGCTTGATGCCCARCTCTGCTCTCAACTTACTGAAATCACAAACAATGACATTTCAGTTTAGATTATGCAGTAGATTCCATTGTTTATATCTATGAGATACTTCAGGCATCTGTATCAATTTCACTCTATGTAATAAGTTATTATTAATCCAGTTATATTMTTACTTTGTTTCATCAACTAGACTGACTCTTGTTATGTCTTTCTGTCCAAGGTCAACAGATGGYACACACTGATCTGTAAAGTTGGAGAAACAATATCAATAATGTTATATTTAACTTCTAACAATAATGCTAACGATTCTGTTGAACAGCAAAGAATTTGACCATCCAATCATTTGAACAAATGCATTAGGTGAATGGCAAAGGCCAATTACTCAATTGACACTATCCCTACTTTCAGCTTTCTAACAAGAACCAACTCCATGTAAATATTGYTTACATTCTTGTTAAAAGCCTATTTTAATTTAGCTGTATCAAATAGACCTACATTAAAATCATGGCATTCACATATTTAATATTTGAACCTTTTGAGTCCTTAGGAACACTATTTTCTTTACTGTTTTGGCTGACTGTACTACCCTGAAAATCAGAAATATTGATGGTCAAATAAAAGGTTTTGTTTTATATTTTACTCAAGGCATGTTTTTTTAAGAAACTGTTGATTGTATTGAAAGACTAAGAAATTATGCACCTCCCATGTATGATAAAACACAAYTATTACCATAGTAGATAGCATTGTATCGCCAAGATCAGGGAAGTCTGGTAGGTTGTCTGGRGTAGSAATTTCATCACCAGCAGTGAATGCCATTGATGTCTCATTTTCATCAACCGCTGAAATGTAATGCAGAGATTGATTTACTTKAATTTTTTAATTAACTTAACTGGTAATATCTACCTAAAAGATGACAAATGCTGCCATAAATCGTAAAATCATAATTTCGACTCTACATAAATTATTATTACAAATCCAACATCCAATTTTTTCAATTAATGATCAGTTCATCAAATTAGAAAATAAATCCATAAAGTAATAATTGCAACAATTATTAATATGCCTTACCAATATTATCCAATCGAATCAACTTTGGTAAGTTCTTCAGCACAGTATTCCTATAGTTTGGGCTATCAGCACATGGGTTATCTGACAGCCACAAAACTCTCAGCTTTGGGAGTTTCTTCAAAAATCCTATTTCATTTAAATCATTTACACAGTTTTTACGCAAATAAAGCTCTTTTAGTCTTGGACCTGCAGAAAAAATAACAAATTGAAGTGGTCAATGGCATTTGAAAAGTTTTTGAAGTCTTTATTTGTTACATTACATTACTTTATTTGTTACATTACATGTACCAGGGGGATAGGAGCTGTAGCATTCCCTCCATCTCTGCACCCTTGATTCAGAGTACTGCTTTTTTTTCGAGTTTCATTATGTCAGCCCCCTCACATAAAAAAAATTGTGCCYCTCCCCCCCTGCATGGACGTATTAGCTTGATTTCCTTTCAAATGTTTTTTCCTTTCAAATAGAATGTAAAAAGTTATTAATAGACTGCTATCAATCAAAAGGGATGATCGCTATAATTTGTACAATGTACACTGTGGTATTTCATAACGTTTACCTAAACTTCTGTTCAGAGAGCGAGAATGACATTATAATAGCATAAAATATAATCTTTTACAATGTTAATAATAGAATAATAAGTTTAAATTCACTCACAGTGGGCAAAATCTTTTAAACTTGCAATATTATTGACACTGCAAAGAAAAATATCTCCATGTCATGATTATATGCCAAATGTACAATAATTAATCATAATGCATTAAAACAACAATTGTAAATGTGTAACCTTAAACTTAGAACTTCCACATTTAACAACTTGGTGACTGCAGAAATCTGAAAAGAAAACGAAAAAAGTTGACTTGACTGTTTAACTTATGTTTTACACTTTTTAATGTGTGGAATCATATTAGAGGGAGTACTTACATCGGAGAGATTGCTTCCCCTATGAATGAAAAAGAAAGAATTATATCAAAACATTCTTTTTTTTTCAGTAATAAGCCTTTATATAGCTATCATAGCAACCAAAATGGCGTCCTTTTCAGAAAGTCCTCAAGTCGTACTTACCACAAATTCAAGTTTTTAACAGTATCAAGACTTTTAGCCCGAGCACGCAGAAGAATCTGTTTTTCACTAAGAGACGACATCTCGAAGATTTCATCAAAAACTTTAAATATTCGTTATAAAAGCTACTGTTGGAATCGGCCCCGTTGGATTCTTTATTTTCTTTCCGCCATTTTTTGAAATGAGGGTTACCGCTGTCCACAGATTCTCTTGTTACGAGTGGACGACAGCAAATCGAAGATAAACGAGTTCATTGATTGGGTAATCTTTTCTCGTTGTTGATACGGGGATTTGCCGAGCYCAACCCGAATATGTAAAGTAGCTTTGTAACCCGTTGTTTGACACTCGATGAAAAGCAAAACAAGTGCTTATTTCTTTGCTCCATGTGGTTGAACAGTTTTCTTTGCAACTCTCGCACCAAGTACATAATTTAAGGCTGTTTTCATTATAGGACTCTTTCATGAACGTGAAAAAATCAAACCGTTCTATATGATCCGACCGTCCACAAATGTTTTCTTTATCCTGACAGTTTCGGCAGTTTCTCCAGACGCATGAATCTGATGAATTTTATTCAAAGCGAACTGAAACGGTCATCATTATGACCACTTATAGCATGGTCATAGGAAATACGACGGTAGGAAAGGATATTCTCGATGTTCGTGAGGTAAGCGGAAGTAACAAACGTTTTTTTTTGTTGTTGTTGAGTGCACAAAAACGTGTACGATGAGTAATATATCCTTCAAATTATCCACTCGCCACATTTTAAATGTGTTTTTATCCATTTTCGGTCATTTTCTTCAATCTCATTATGCCAAATCGCAGTATATTGAGTACCCAGCTTTGGTTTTACAGGTTACACCAGGGTCAAGGTCAAAAATATTATCGGATGGTACAAATGAATGGATACGATGTACATTCATTAATTTATACATGAATGTGTTCTGCTATGCTAAGCATTTCAATAATATTTATCGTCATTTCATGAGTTGGTTTATTTTATGAGGGGTTTTCTCTTGTTATCTGCTGGTTTTCCCTCTTTGTAAAAATAGCTGAGAAACAGACTGCTTTGAAACATGCCAGTCTGTCGCCAGTCTGTCCTAAAAGACCAACTTTACAGTAAATTATATTTAGTATACATTTGCCACCATTTGCTCCCTCGACCATTGTTGACATCACAAAATAAAACAATGCCAGAGAACAATAGAATAGACAATATTCTAATTACTGGTGGTGCTGTATATTTTATGTACATGCAGTGTACACAACTTTGTACACCAAACTTTGTATGTGCATTTGAAAAGAACATCTTCAAGTTTRTGAGGGCTTGATAAAGGTTGTGAGTAAAGTGTTTTCTTTGWCAGAATTCCAGCCCAGAAGCTGCCATTACTTATGAAATAATTGATGAYGTTATTCTTGGATTGTGCTTTGAAATGCACAAGTCAATCAAGTTGGGAACRTTTGGCATTGAAGAAGTTGACGAAAAGTGAGTAAAATATTGCCCGGGGGAGTACTCCCCGATAAATGTATTTGTTATAGGGGTATGTGCCRCGCTAAAGGGTATGAYTTTTTGGCTTTTAGGTCTKTGTTWGGGTAAAAAATATTGTGAAGATCAGAGATTGCAACTGGTCTTAAATGTATCATTTGTACTTGAAAACAGTAACCAATTGATAACATTTGACAGTTGATAAGTTTGCTAAAATTATATGTTAACTTTGAAAATYAATTATTATCAGCAATTGATGRCTCCAATTTWTTATTGTATTTTMTTTTATCAATTATTATTTCATCAATTAGTTACGTTAGGTTTGTATAGTGCCAGTGGACTAATTTAATTAATTATTTGCTTTATTTGCTAGATTCACTTTTAGCTTATATAGGAGTCATATAGTCATGTTACATGTACCTATCATTGCTTTACAAAGGCCTACATTCTTCTCAAACTTTCTGTGTTRAAAGGAGACTTGTCTCATGTCATTATCTTTCCTCTCTTTTCATTGAAATCCTGTGAAATTTTAGAACAAGCAAGCAATACGGTGAGTAACATATTACATGTGTGTACTTTTAAGCACAGACAAAATAAATGCTAGCCTGAGTATCAGGCTCTCTCGAAGGGGTTTGGGGCGGAGCGAGAAAGGAGAGAGAGCCTGACACAATCTTCTATCGAGAGCCGTGTTCGGCGGCCGTTTCATGGCCGAAASGCTGATTGGTCTAGAGGACAAAGGAAGTGACAGGAATTAAAATATATATAATTATTATGTTRCCGAACGACGCTATAACTCTTGATATAAGTGAATAACAGTTTGGGAAAGCTTTAATAGTAACCTGGTTGCAGAGGCTTGTCTTTTATTCTTTTTTTTACTACGTTATCAAGCCGTTCTTGAATCGTTTTGTTTTTACGCGTACAAAAACAAACCGATTAACGGAAACGTCTCATATAACACTAACATTRCACCGACCTATAACGGAGTAAAACAATTCAAGATTATAGTGATCAATCCTCTTAGAGTTTATTAGACGTCCACAAGTTGAGAATCTGGTAAAAATCGGCATAAAAGCTGCGACTTTTCAAATAAATTTTGACACATAACCGCCACATCGAGAAATCAAGCAAACCGGAACAGCTTTTAATTGGCTTAAATTTATTGTCACRCGTCACRCATTGCAAGGAGGYGGAACGGCTCTCGATAGAAGATTGTGTCAGGCTCTCTCTCCTTTCTCGCTCCKCCCYAAACCCCTTCAAGAGAGCCTGATACTCAGKCTAAATAAATGCTAGAYCACCCTACATCATCAAAAAAATATTGTTACATCATCACACATTATTTTCTTCATTCGAATACGAATTTTAACAACAAAAGTACAAAACAATAGTTATATAGTTCCTATTAAAATTATATTAGACTGATGATTGCCAACCACATGACCTTGTTTAATCTGTTGTATTTCTCTTAACATTTTAGAAGTTGTTGATGTTGAAGGACTTGATGTTTTTGGTCAAGTACCACTCAAAAAACCTATGGAGTGTATTTGTCCAAATTGTCAGCGTAACATGGCTGCTTCAAGGTTTGCCCCACATTTGGAGAAATGCATGGGCATGGGACGAAACAGTAGCAGAATTGCCAGTAGAAGGTACATGTTGAACACTGTACATGAAGCACTGCTTTGTATTTTTTTTACCAGTTTTAATGAGAGAGCATCTTGAATATATCTCACTAATTTAAGAGTCAGGAAGTATAAAGAAAGACTGTAAWNTTTCCTGCAAATGTTCTCCTGCCCGTATAATGACATGAAAACGTTATATTTAACTTGCATTATTCTTTAAAGATCTCAACGTTGTCCTCAACATACTGATGACCAAAGAAAGTCGGTGCGACTTCGGTTACTTGGTGAGTTTATTTCTTGCTTTGCCATAATAATTCTCGTTTGCGGAAAGCCTTTTTATATTAGTTTGCAGATCTTTGCAACTATTAGTTTGCAACTATTTATACCTGTTGTGTTGCTTTATAGTCTTTCTCGGTGACCAACTTTTAATAAGCTGTAGGATGATTTACTAAATAATGATTTTTGTTAGGACAAGAAAATGATCCGGTTACATTAAGACATCGACCAGATGGGTAAGAAACATCCACARCATACTTTACATTCTTTTGGTACTAAAAATTCTTCTGTGAAATGTCGACAAAATGTGGATTTTATGAAAGTCTTTCTTGTTCTTCTCATCGGTGTATAAGGAGTTATCGCTAATGTTGTAATACTTTCTATTAATTTACAGAACTTCGTTTGAGGCAGAAGATGTTATAGGTAGGTTTGYGGAAACGAGAGTTCACAACGAAATCATCATAAACAATTAATCTTATGACAGACTTCTTGACTTTCTGTAACAACTTACTTTCTGAGGTATTTTTTGCGGTCATCATTGCGGAGAATAATAATTATTGTCTAGCGCTGGTTGATTGTTGAAGCAAAAAATAAAAAACTACAAAATAGGATTAGTCGGCTATGGTGCAGCGTACGACTCTAAATACAATGTACCTGCTATACATCTTTGGCATGCAGTGTGTTTTGGTTCATTCTAATAATGCTATGATTTTTAGATGTCGATAGYTATGAGGACGGTGATGGACCATCCCTTTTGCGTGATACTCTAAGCAGGTAATGCCAACAATTGCCCTTCKTCAMTATCATCACAGAATCTTCCATGGCCATCTGTACTATTCTACAAGATCCCCTTTCTCTCCTAGTTTTCTATTGTWTTATATATTGATTAATTCCTGTCACTATTTAGAGGCTTTGGTTGTCATTCGCCTCTTCTCTATTCACTACTTTTGTCGTGTCTTTGTCTTGATATTTTTGGATGTGACGTCATAGTGAGAGATTCCTATTGTCATATTAAGCTACTAAGACTCTCTGCTAAGACTTACGCTGCTTGCTGCTATTCTTGTAAAGGTTATCATGGGAGGAAGAGTCAAATGCATCTACAGGAGACGATAATTCACCAGCAGGTCAGTACTACATACGTCGAGTTTTATATGGGTCGAACAAAAGAACTTCTTTGATGATAGACTGCGTGCAGGTGTTCGCTTCGCCCCCGACACGGTGCGTCTGCACGTAGGCTACTTTGGTGCCCCTTTGTTGACGAACACGACTGCTTTTATTTAACGTTTTCTTTAAATATTTGCTGTTTGTTTACCTGTGACAGTATTGTGGGACAATAAAAGACAGTTTGTTGTAGCTTCTTGGTTGAATGGAGCACGTAGGATGTTTAAAAGACTCCAAATATCACCGATGCACCATTCTTTATTGTCGATGAGAAAAATGATTTGTCAAATGTCGTATAGTTTGATRTAAAACATCCCAACACAACACAATGATAATGAAAATAGAACGCAAGTCGTTTTTTTTTTTCTTTTGCAGCTTTTGGTCCTGCTTCGTTAGTAAAGAAAAAAAGAAAGAAAAAAGCAAAACATAAGAAACGCTCAAGGTAGAAACAAAAATKGTTTATTCGACTATGATAAGGAACAGGCTGTTTGTCTGTTTGGTTGGTCCAAGACGATATTTYCTTCTACAATGGAATGAATAAAGCACTTCAGATTCAGCGACCGAAGGCGTGAAACTGGAACATTTGCCTTTCTGTTAGAGCCTTACAGTTTCAGCGACTTGCCTTTGGTCTATTTGTTAAGAATGCTTGATTGTGTATATGGGATTGCATTTGGTAATGTAAGGATTCGTTGTTTTATACCAAGTGTCCTARACATTCCAAACCAGATATATTGCAATTTGTTGCAATGAGAAATTGCTCTCCAAGAGGGCAGACTATTGGGGTTGAATGCATGTACAAAACATTTATGTCAAAGAACAAATTTTCTATCAAAGAGTATGCATTGCAAGATGAATAACTGTAAATGAAAATTGTATTTTCTCTGTAAATTCGTTCAGAAAAGAGCTTTCACTGACTAGGAAGCTTCGGAGGAGGGTAATCCCCTGTTTGCTCTTTGCTTCCAGAAGATTACTTCCTCTAGGTTGCCGAGGATGTCTAGCCTCCTGTCCCATCATGCAATRCCTTTTTTACTGATTTCTGAATTTTCATCACTGGGGTTTCTTGACACATGTCACCGTCTAGATTAATGAAGAATCACTCTTAACTCTTACATATAATGCATTCTACGATAAATACGAAAAAATCGCAGTGTGAATACGACAATTTATTTTCTATTTAAAGCTTGATACAACGMTGTCAGAACCTGAGGCGATTTCAAAAAACGTTGAATGCTGTAGAACTGCGAAGAGAATCACAAGACCGAAATGCATTGTTGTTAATAAATCCCATGTTGCTTGCCTCACAAATTGACAATTCTAAACTCACTGAAATTGTCTTCGCTGCGGAGCTGGCATAGGTACTCTGAAACAGTGAAGCCCTTTAAGCGGCGATACTAACGATGCGGTTTTATAATGCACTAAACAGTTTCACAGTATTTGCCCAGTACTCAACGTTTTTTGAAATTGAAGACTTGTTATTATGGATAGTTTCCTTTCTTGAATTAGATATGTTTTTTACTGATGCCATACAAACTATGGTCGGCCGAATATCACGATATTTGTACTTTTTTTTGGATACAATAAAGACGGAACAGCATTTTAACTTGTTGAGTTTTTGCTAGGCTTAGGTTGGGAAACCTCTGAAAAAGCAGGGTTGTGGTTATTTGGACAAACTTTGTCTTTGACTCAGCGCGTCCATATAGGACTAACCAACAGAAGTATGAGCCGAGTTAAATTGCTCAGCCTCATTCTACCAAAACATGTTAACGTGTGTTAAGATCCAAGTATGTCGCAGTTCCCATTTTAGATTACAACCTCGTTCCCAGGGCTACTCTGCGCCCAGACATTTTGAAAAAAGTGAGCAGAGTAGCCCTGGGAACGAGGTTGATTTTAGATTAGCCTGGATAGCGACTCTCTTGGGATCCCTGTTGACGGCCCAAAACGCCTCGCGAAGTTCGTAAGCTTTAGTAAACCTTTTATCAATATACTGTTTATTAWAATTTACTACTAAATAGTGGTGAATGTACAGTGACAAACAACGGAATTAACATAATAGTTGAGTACAATTTTTGTAAGTTACCGCATTTAAAACGACTAACACATTTCGACAATTGTTAACATATAGCACTTATCGTACTCACTATACACTGTACCCACACCTCTTCATAGCCATATAATGTCGGAATTCTACTATCTCTATTCAGTTTTCAGTGAATGGTGTTCAAACTTTCATCTAGAGACTACTATTGTCACGAATATCAATAAAAACACTACTGCAGTAATTAATTAAATAATAATTTCTCGGTATATACAATAATTATAATTCTTAATATATTATTTTGACTTCTTTTTTAAACCTTTCTTTGCTGTTGAAGATGATTTGCCTTTTTTGTTTTTGTCGTTCTTGGACTTGTTATCTCTCTTTATGGTTGTCTGAATGGGAATTTTTTCACCTTGACACCGAGGCTGAAAAGAAAATCAAAGCTTAGTAACAAACCGAGAAAAAAACTTGTTTTCTCCACTATTATTTTCTCCACTATTATTTTCTCCACTATTATTTTCTCCACTATTATTTTCTCCTTTCAATTCCATCCTGCAGTTGGTAACCGATACCGTAAAGGACATAGTAGACGAACTCTCATTGGTCGAGACGGACAACTCGGGTTGACCAGAGAAATACGGGTCTTGCAAACTTCTTAATTTAGGTCTTTTAGCGCGGCACTGGTGAAAAACGCACTGCGCATGTCCACAGCTTTCCCGCTGAAATCTGTCTAATTTCCTTTGTAAAGCGATTTTTGTGAAAGTTTTTTACAATTTATAAGCTCGTTCACGGATATATAAGATTCATATTTCCATCAATCTTTGTTCATGATATGTTCTTTTAGTATGTAGTTTCTATTTTTATCTTGTCATTTCTATTTTGAGAAAACGAGGTTTTTCGTAGTGTTTTCTGTGTTGTCGCTGTAAATCGCTAGGCGCTCTGTTTACAGATTTCAAGACGCGAGCGCTCACTGGCGGGAAAGCTGTGGGCATGCGCAGTGCGTTTTTCACCAGTGTCTCTTTTAGTTTCTTTTCCATGTTTTTCCGCTATCCCGATGTGATTCTTAATTTAGGACGGAGATGAAACGAAAGACTACCTTTAAATTTATCTTTAAAAGGACGATTCTCACTCAAAATATATGTATAAATGCTGTGCTATATATTATAATATATGGTAGACGATATGTCAACAAACCTGATTACAGACCCTGCAGGTGTTTTCAGTGAACATCTCGCCATAAAATGCTCCTCGCTTACATGACTTACAGTACCTCGTACCACAATACTTGCACTTGTACATCTATTAGTATATAGAATAACAATTATAATTATGTGACCAATYCAACACTAAGAGTGTCAATTGAGTGTTGCACGCTTTCAAAGCATGAATTTGGTTTTGTATTCTGTTTTTTGAATAATGTTTTAAGCGTTTTTCAGCTATAGACAAATGACAACAACTGAATTCAATCTAGAAACTAATATATCTCTTAAAGCCAGAAACGTAATATGTATTTCAGCCGATTTATCTGAGAGCTTTTCTTACCATTAGCAATGAGCTAAATTTGAAAATGAACTGCATGTTTAAGACCAAAAAAGGTATATGCATTGCATGAAGAAAGCCTTAAACAGAACAACGATTGAYTTCCATTCATTTTCG